CACGTGATGGGAAGAGTGGTGCCCTTCAGGCGGCTCCACCTGTTGAACTTGTTTACGCAGTTCCCGGTTTTAAGTAGTAATTCCATCAATTCCAAAGCAAAATAAATTTAATCTTTTTCCAGATCGGAAAATTCCGGAGTTATAAGTGGTATTGGGGAGAGTTGTCAAAATGACTGCCCTTGGTGGATTGAAAGACGATCTACTAACCAGAATCTAAACATTGAAAGGCTGAAACATGTCAGAGAAAGCCTCGAAGAAAAATACTTTGAATCGCATATACTAACTTCTGGAAATGCTCATAGGTATAGGATTTGTAAGTTTCTAACCAAAATGTGACCCTTACTGGGATCGGGTTCGGTAAAACTAATAAAAACTGACTTAAAGGTGATCTCATGACGAAAACGTCGAAATATTTTAGACCAGTGATTTGGTAGTTTTATGAGAAAAGGCTTTGAATGATATGGGGGACGAATTTCTTACTAGAGACAAAAACCACGCAAAAAAACCCCCGGAATATTCCACCCCAAATTCAAGTGAAAATTAGCCTAACTGTGAAATCATTCCCTCTTGGTCTCAAAAGCTAACTATAAATTGATAAAAAAGTGACAAAATCTGAAGATGATTAAATGTCAAGCTGACAACACAGTCCTGTCACCAATATGAGTCACAGCATTCCTGCACTAGTAGAGTCAAAACTGTAATGACATCTCCTGTGAATAGACATTTCACCTTCTTTCATTCAAGAAAAAAACAAAGCCAATTCTTGAGAAGGCACAACGCCGTGACGACAGAGTCGATTCCAAGCAGCGAATGCTTCTGTAGTTACTAGAGTTTAACTAAGCGGGTTATGAAATACATTTACTCCTTTTAAAATGAGACAAGCACAGTACGAAGTAATTTTCTTTTAAGTGAAAGCTTAATCACATGACAGTAATGTCAACCTTCTCCTGACTGTGGTCGCAAATTGTGACGTTAATCTAGAATGGATTCCAAAAACTGTATCAAGGACCTACAAAAGTACAAATGACGAAGACTGTCGAAGCGATTTGTCCTTGCTGAAGAAACCCTTACTCTTTAAATAAAGAAAAGTAAATCGGATCCCACGAGAGGGCTCTCCTCATAGCATGTCCTTGTGAGAGATATTGACAATGACAAGTAAGGGAACGGAAGTCCTTTATGCCGATTTGCGTTCAGCTAAACAAGGAGGGAGGGTGGAGTGGCAACCTCAAAAGTACAAGTGGTGCCATTTGAATGTGCTGCCTGGGGGACATCACGCTACGTAAGCGTGTGTGTGGTTCTGCACACACACACACACACACACACACACACACACACACACA